CATATAACATTCTCTTACTTTTATCTTCCAGAAGAATCAAATCAACAAAACATTTTACCACTGACGTTTTTGGACTAACATTGCAGCTTCCGTGGATTTTGTACAACTGCCAGAATATTTTTAAGCTTGATGTTTGTATCACAAGCGACGAGCCATGTACCTTCATATGGGGCTGCTATGGTTACAAGCACCCTTTAATACACATGCAGATGTCTACTTCCATTGCATGTATCTGCAGAAAACAGCATTTTCTATAGATCTTTATTGATTGGTTACTGAATGGAATGAACCTCACATAAACTCTGTTAATACATAAGGAAACAGTAAAGAGAAAATATTTTTTTCTCTCCTGACAGTACACTCATCTGTCTATCAGTCCATCCATCTATTTTATGTTTTTCTGTCTCGTTAGTGTTTGCATTTTACTGCCAATATGAAGTGGCAGTCTCCTGACTGCAACTCATAATGAAGTCTAATTAATTTACTATGACGCCTCCACTGCAGTGATCTGAAGTAACATGTTTATGATATATGTAAGACTGTTTCACATTAATTGCAAGTGTTATCAGGATTGAACATGTATCTACATTTTCTAATTCCTAAATCAGAGGTGCTTGGCCAATTTGCAAAAACCTAGCCTCTGGAGGGTGATGAGGGTTTATTAGCTACTTAGCACATGGAAGTATGGGGATGGACTTGTTGAAAGAGGTGTTATAAAGGACACCAATTATAAGAAAATACATATGCTGTCATTGCAGACCTTTTAAAATACTTATTCCCTGACTGTCATGTTGACTTTCTGACTTCAAAACCTTTTGACTCACTGGATTAAATCATAAGAACGTGAAAGCAGAACTCCTGATCTGCATACTCATTCAGTGTGAATGGCTTAAAGCCCAAATGTAGTTTTAAAAAAATGTTAGCAACAGAACGAACGTACACCAAAACAGTAAGTAATGAATACCTTTGTGATTTTTTTTTAAAGCTCCATCATCCTTAAAGACTGCTGCACACAATGCAACATGCACATCTGGTTTACAATTGCAAATGGAGATCTGCCAGCACAGTACAGACAAGGGATATTATAGTAAACACAACTCCCCATTCCTCCTTAACAATACATAGAAGAGGTCAACTTCAGTTTTGGAGTTTTAAGGGGAAAAAAAGCAAATAAAAAAGTAAGTAGCTATTTTCAAATCTTGTTATGTTACAGAACTAGGAACATGTAACAAGTATAACATAGATGTTAATACAATCGCTTGCAAAAATGTAAATATACTTTAAACCCCATCACAAACTTGGCCCACTGAAACTGATTATTTGATAAATAAAGCTGATATATGATAAAAAGGAGAACGGTAATAAGCAGAGGCTACCCCTATTGCAAATTGTATTTTAAAACGATATGCAGCTGAATTTATTTGCAAATCTTGACTTTTTTTGACTTCGCTCTGCCTGCTTCCGCTTACCTCCTCCTGAGTTTCCATATTTGCCCTCTAATATAATGGATGGCATCACTGATCAATATGGAAGTCAAAGGGGAGGGGCAGGTGCAAGCATGACTTTTACAGGAAAAGTCAAGATTTGTTTATAACTTCAGTTGTTTCGATCTCAGGATCTTCTAATTGTTTAAACTTCCAGTTTTCAATAAAAGTAACCATTACTTATGCTTTTTCATCATATGCAACACCCTGACTTTAAATTCCTTTAACAGATACCAATTAACCAAAGAAAAAGACATAATTAAGCATCCCTCTTGCTCACTGTCAATACAGTGGACACTAGGATATAGTTGGAGACAGAATTACTCAAGGTAAATGTTTGGGCCAACTGTTGGTTTTAAAGTCTAAACCTTTTTTTGCACCTTAATACATTCTCTGCATTAGGGTACAAAAACACCACTCTATCTTTCCTAGCTCCCTCTATCCCTAAGCACTTATCTGCTCCCGATACCACTCCCCCCACTTCCCGCTTTCACAGGAGAAACTGAGGGCAGCAGAGCTATAGGCTCATGCTGCTCTCAATCAAACTGTGGTTATGGGAGTGGGGGCATAGCTTACCATTGCTATGTGTGTCTATGGACACACATCCCAGTTTGGAAGTAGGCATGTTAGGGATCCGGGTATGACCAGAAATGTGTGGACTGACACAGGGAAACACAGGCTCCAGGTATAGTATAACAATACAATTTATTAAAGACTAAACAGTACATAAACGCAGTGCAAGACTAAACATAAACACAGTGCAACCAAACCTCCAACAGATAACAATAAGAACAATACTAAACGTAGTCGTGCAGGCCGGGTCGGTAGCAAATGGGCAGGCAGGGTACAAGGAGCAGGCGGAAGCGTAGTCAGGAATAGCCGAGGTCAGGACAGGCAGAGTTCATGCAGAGTCAGGATTAAAGCAGAAATCAGGATCAGGCAGGAAGCAGACAGGATGCAGGTACAGGGGCTCATGGGAAACATACACCAAGGCCCTGATCACAGGCCTGGCCATTCCTTAAATACACCTGCTGTAATCAGCCTCAGGTGATGGCTCATTGCAGGAGTGAGCCTCTGGTTGCTGAGAGCACCCGCTGGCCAGCCCTGGTACTGCAGCCCACAAGGCAGGTGAGTCCCACCACCACTGGCAAGTCCATTCCTGACAAGGCAGGCATGGGTGCCTCCTTATTTTATTTATTTCAGGTACTTATATAGCGCTGTTAATTTATGCAGTGCTTTACATACACATATTGTACAATCACATCAGTCCCTAACCTTCAAGGGGCATACAAACTAAGGTTTCTAACTCACATTCATACATACACATACTAGGGCCAATTTAGACAGGAGCCAGCATGTCTTTGGAGTGTGGGAGGAAACCCACGCAGGCACAGGGAGAACATGCAAACTCCAGGCAGATGGTGGCATGGTTGGGAATCAAACCAGCGACCCTAGTACTGCCAGGCAGATGTGCTAACTGTAACGGAACCGAACTGAGTTTTTCCGTTATAGCACAACTTCCCCTGTCCGAACACCATCCACAGACCACACCCTTGAAATCCCTCAGGAAACAGACAATACCCAGCTCTTCAGAATACAGGAAGCCAACAACTCTTTATTTTACACAAACAACATGTTTTATACAGAGGGCGGGGAAACACAACCAGGAACAGGAAATACATCATCAGGAAACCAGGAACAGGAAACACATGGTAAAGGACATTGACCAACCCCCACACCAATACACAAACAGTACATCCCATAATAGTTGGCTGGACAGGAAGACACAGCACAATGGGGGGGAGCACATGGCAAACAGACAATGGACAGCCATGTGGCTTAGACAAAGGAACACACACTATACACAATACTGGGACATTCACATTCACACCCTGTACCCTTAACAGGCACAGGGTGGGTTAAACATAATGAGGGGGACATGAGCTGACCAAGCGGTCCCCCCACTCCCAAAAGTCACTCCCGTCACACTAACCATTTAGCCACTGTACTGCCTTGGCTTACTAAGAAGGCACCCGGAGGAGGGAGAAAATGACAGCACTGGTGGGGGACTCCCAGAAGAGTGGAAGATGGTGCTTATTGTGCAATATTGTTGCACAGATCAGGTAAGTATGAACTCTTTTTTTATTTAAAAAAAAATAAAATGTTTCAAAGGTGTGAACTTAGCTTTTAAACAAATAGCCTGATAAAGCAACTTATTCACAGTGTATACACTGACAACTAGATGGAAGTGAGCAGTGTTCAAATCTGTGTGACAGTAGGAGGAATCCCAGCACACACCTGACCTACAATTAGTAAAAATGAACCCCAGGAGGTGCCTTGCGCAGCTGCACAGTCTGCACAAATTGTGTGTCCTGCTTACTAGCAAGTTTATAAGCATAGTTAGCAAACATTCTGCTACTGACTGCACACAAGATTCCCTATCTCTGAAGTACAGTTGAGGATGTCTCTCTTGCAGATTTAATTAAGATGCAATAATTCAATTAAAGCTTGGTAATCTATATGGAACAGCTAGGTGATTAACTGCCTGTAAACAAAACTGAACTTCAGTGTCAGACCAAAAAGCCCCTTGTGAAGTATACTGCCACATTTCTAAAAAAAGAAAAACAAAGCACACTTCTAAAACACATCACAAGGAAACGTCAGAAAAAAAATTCTCAATTAGTGTGATCTCCGGTGGAGCTACATAAGTCTACTTGTGGTCACATGTCTGTCCCACTCTGTAAGGTCCATTATGTGAAGTTGCGTCCCTAACAATGTAGCATCCATTGTATAATAACTTAATTACAGCTTTCAAGACATCCTTTTTCAGAGTCTCATCTCTCTGACCTTGAGTCTTGCTTCTCATTCATTACACAGACAAAATTAATTATTCCTTTTTCTCCCCAAGTAAAATTAAATGATGAAATCTACTTTTCACTGTACGGTCTGCAATTAATTTGTTCAATACCAAGAAAAAAAAATAGCCATCAATTAAAAGAGGGTGAAATTCTAACCCCAGGCCTGGTGCCCTTTTGGTTCAGCAAAATCATCAAATTAAGACAGAAAGAATATTGGGGTACGCAGACAACTATAGCTAGTAAAGCAAGAGAACAAAGTGCAAACACCAACAAAAAATAACAGTTATTCAGTCATTTGGTAATGTAGCTTGGCATTTCTGGCACTAAGTAGACCTTCAGAGTTGGGAAGGCCTGTTTCTTTCCACAAAGCTGGCCCTTTCACCAAACATAGGTGGAGCAATGCTCTGTAATGCATGATCCCTATTGAGATAAGTATAGATTAAGTGAATAGAACGTGGATCCTGTGCTGGTCAGCTTTTTTTGCTGTCTCAGGACATTTATTTCATTTTCCTAAAATACCGTATTTTTCGTTCCATGAGACGCACCTGACCATAAGACGCGCCTAGGTTTTAGAGGAGAAAAACAAGAAAAAAAATATTCTGAACCAATGGACTGCAGACATAGTACAGGAAATGACCAGAGACTGCACACGCAGTACAGGAGATGACCAGAGACTACGGACATAGTACAGGAGATGACCAGAGACTGCGGACATAGTACAGGAGATGACCAGAGACTGCGGACACAGTACAGGAGATGACCAGAGACTGCGGACACAGTACAGAAGATGACCAGAGACTGCAGACACAGTACAGGAGATGACCAGAGACTGCACACACAGTACAGGAGATGACCAGAGACTGTGGACACAGTACAGGAGATGACCAGAGACTGCGGACACAGTACAGGAGATGACCAGAGACTGCAGACACAGTACAGGAGATGACCAGACACTGTTGACACAGTACAGGAGATGACCAGAGACTGCGGACACAGTACAGGAGATGACCAGAGACTGCAGACACAGTACAGGAGATGACCAGACACTGTTGACACAGTACAGGAGATGACCAGAGACTGCACACACAGTACAGGAGATGACCAGAGACTGTAGACAGTAGAGATGACCAGAGACTGCAGACAGTACAGGGGATGACCAAGAAACTGCAGACAGTACAGGGGATGACCAAGAGACTGCAGACAGTGCAGGGGATGACCAAGAGACTGCAGGCCTTTGGGGAGGGAGGGGGAGCAGGTACCTGAATTTGACAGGTACCCACTCCCAATTCCATGGAGTTGTCCTCCCTTTAGTGTGGGCACCACACTAAAGGGACAGCACAGGCTGTGACAGCCGGGTGCCCACTGCGCATGCTAAAGATGACGGCGCGGGAAGACTGTACAGCGCTGGACCGAGGAACAGGTAAGGTCCTGCTGCAGAGAAGAGCTCAGCAGCCGGCCCGGTATTCTGACATGGTGGCGGCAGCGGAAATACTGGACTGGCCGCTCCATATTCGCTTCATAAGACACACTGACATTTCCCCCCCTTTTTGGGGGGGAAAAAAGTGTGTCTTATGGAGCGAAAAATACGGTACATGATAAAGTAGATAAAAAAAGTAATTAAAAGGTAAGTACAGGCGCTGAGGTTCATATAGTGAACAGGCTATTTTTTTCCAGTGAACTGTCGGCACAGTGCTCATCCTAATGTGACAAATATGCAGGTGAACGGCTCCAATTTCAGACTTTCTCTCTGAACGATGCTCCGTATGGACCATCTAAACCAAGCAGGCAGGGAAAGAAGGGGAGGAGTCACTCCTGTCACTTATTTACCTACGTGTGTAAATGTCAGCTTGTACTACTGAGCTCTGTAAGCAAAAGGGTTTTTCTTTAGCAGAACAGCTAAGAAAAAACAGGTTAACATATAAAAATGAGCCTAGAGCTCCACTCAGTTGGAAGTGAAAATATAGAACATCATATTAAAAAGGAAAAGAAAAATTAAAAAAAAGAAAAGAGGAAGAAAAATTAAAAAAAAAGAAAATGAAAAGAAAAAGATACAAAACCAATTTGGGTTAAAGAATGACCTAACAGACTTTGAAAATTGCAGGCATTCTTGTGCCGGGAGCTTAGACTGGAATATCGCAAAACACCACAAAGCTGTTGAGCTTTCCATGGCAGCAATCTTGAAGGCGTATAATGAATAAATCAGAACATAAATCACTTTGCCAATAAGTACACTCTGTGGGAGGTGACCCTCATGGGACATATCAAGTGGCTCAGGTCATAAAGTCAAAATTACAATACCACAGTGTTAGCATGAAAACACAACTGTAGGATACAACAAACAAACAGAATCACATTATATAAAAGCAAGAAAGGCACCTCTTCTTCTCACAGAAAGACATCAGAAAGTGCGCAAAGGAATATTCACAGTATACTGTTGGCTGGGGATATGTAAGCTGACGCTTTGCATCTGACTGTAAATGACACCATATTGAGAGTGTCATTTGAAGATGTGGCATAGTAACCTTGGAATAAATTCAAACCTTGCATCTGCAGAACATAGCATATACCACCTTGCGTTGGGCAGTTGCACAATACGCCAATGGCTTTGTGGTCAGTTTAATCTTGGAACACTACAAAACACTATTTGTAAATAATATCACAATAGAAATTATAGAGGCACTGCAGACAGAACTAAAAAAAAAGAAATCTAGAACCATGTAAAGGGAAGCACAGTCTACCTACTCAGCTCTTGTTTCTATTCAGATATTGCTGCTCATCCACCCACTTTATTTCTGAAACTGGGTGATCTCAAACCACTGTGTCTGATGCAAAAGAGCTATTATGAATATGTGTTTGAACTAAAATCTTTATTATAGTTACATAGTTAGCCTGGCTGAAAAAAGACAAAATTCCATCCAGTTCAACCATTAAAAAAAAAAAAAATATATAATCCTATACCCACAGTTGATCCAGAGGAAGGCAAAAAAACCAGCAAAGCATGATCCAATTTGCTCCTGCAGGAAAACATGGTGTGGGCTATCTAGGGGAAGTTCTGCCAATGACAGCCTTTTTCATGCCAGCTTGTTTGTTTTGTATGTACTTCGAATTACAGGGAAGTGATGCCTCTATCAATCAACATGAAATATCATAATATCACCCCCCCCGTGTTTAGCTGTGTAATGGACATGGAGGAGGAGGGAGAGAGTAGGGTGTCATTTATCCGAGTGTATACGCCCACATGTGTGACTCTATAGTTATGTGGGCTTCACAGATAAGAAAGAGGAGGAAATGAAGAGCTTAGAAGGGAACAGAAACTGGAATATGTTCAGTAGATGTGCAACGGCTGGTCTACACAACCTCAGGGTGCAGTGGGGACACAGACAAGGAGGAAGGGACAGTGAACAACAGGATCAACCAGGTTTTTTGCAGAATACAGAAAACAAATCTCATAGTGACTGAGTATGAATAGCATACAAAATCTGGTGCAGCTGTGCATTGTAGCCAATAAGCTTCCAACTTCAGCTTGTCAATTAAGCTTTGACAAATAAACTGAAAGCTGGTTTCTTTGCAGAACTGCACCAAATTTTGCACACTCTAGTTTTAGTAAATCAGCCCTATATGTTTTTATTGAGGTGCATTCAGGGGCTTAGGCAAAAAAATGCCAAACATCCCCAAATAACATCAATTTAGGAGCAGCAGTATGCATGAGGCCTTAGGAAAGAGCGCGACAAACCCCAGGCACCAGGTCGCCATGGCGACTAGAAATTGCATTCTGGCACCTGTCAGAAGTCCACTGGCAGGCACCGGAACACCACTTTAGTGATCCAAGGATATTGCAGTGGCTTAATCTCCTAGCTCTTCTCCCTTTCCAACCAATCACAGCTGAGGGATAACACAGAGTGGTGCACACAGTCACTTCCTCCACTCCATCCAATCCCTGGCCAGCGCTGTGTGTGAAGTGTTCCGTCCTCGCCCTCTCCCTCTGGCAGACAGTGATGGCGGCTTTGGGGATGTGTTCCTGGGCTCCAGCAGCTCTAAACGGTGTGGTGGTGAAGGTTCACACTGTCCTGGCCTCCATAGTGGACAGCTATGAGCTGAGGATTGAGGTGCTGGCCGAGGTGAGCGGGACTCTGCTGGGGGAGGGGAGACCATCGTCTGAGCACATGTGCATGGCAGGGGGCTTCACTGATCATATATGGGGCCACTGTATTATACCTATGAGGGGCCACACTGTTCCTCTTTGCTCTGATCACATATTTCTGGGAGGGGGCCACACTGAGCATGTGTGGAGCCCCTGTGTTCTGCTGATCATTTGGAGGGGCTGTGTGATATGGGGGGCTGTGCTGTGTGATATGAGGGGGCTGTGCTGTGTGATGGGGGGGCTGTGCTGTGTGATATGGGGGGGGGGGCTGTGCTGTGTAATATGGGGAGGACTGTGCTGTGTAATATGGGGGAGGGGGCCTGCACTGTGTGATATAGAGGAGGCTGTGCTGTGTGCTATGGGGGGACTGTGCTGTGATATGGTGTGGGGGGGGGGCTGTGCTGTGTAATATGGAGGGACTGTACTGTGTGATATGGGGGGGAGGAGGGTGTAGTGCGTGATATAGGGAGGTAGCTATACTTTGTGAAATGTTGGGGGGCTGAATTGTGTGATATGAGGGGGAGCTGTACTTTGTGGTATGGGGGGCTGTAGTGTATGATATTGATGGGGGAGAGTTGTACTGCGTGCTCTGGGGGGGGGGGGGGGGCTGTATTGTGTGATATGGCAGGGGGGACAGAGCTGTACTTCGTGATATGGGGGGCTGTGCTGCAGGGCTCGACAAAATCCAGGTCGCCATGAAAAATTGCATCCTGGTGCCTAGGCTGTTGACAACCATCCACTGTCAGACACCAGGACATCGCTTCACTGATCCAGGGATTTGAAATCTGTACGGCTTAATCTCCTATTCATACCTCTCAGCGTACGTACAAGAGGAATCCTAATTGGTCAGCACCATTACATGGACAGCGCTGACCAATCAGAATCTGTCTAGCCCATCCTGTCAGTACTGGGAGGAGCCGAGAGAAAGCTACAGGTATTTCAAATCCCTGAAATGGTGAAGAAGTGTCCCGGTGTCTCTTTCCCTTCTTTTCGTTCTTTAAAAAAACTGGCTCCTGACTTTTTTAGCTGGCTCCTAAATTCAAAGCAAATTTGTCAAACCCTGCCTTAGGAAGTGCACTCCCATTGACAATTGGATGTGCTTTCTGGATTCTGGTTTAACTAAAGTACAGAGAACACATTAAGGTAAATTAAGATTTTTGATTTTAGAATAACCACAATGTTTGTTGGATAGCATTAAAAGGGAACTGATTGGTTTCACATGTTGCCTGCAGTTGCTGTTACTCTATCTATATAACAGATTTGCTGTTATACAGTGTTATTCTCTTCTTGTAGATAAGCCACATGCTGTCAGAAATGTGATCATGTGGGGTGGCAATTTTTGGAATTTTTAGGGAACATGAGGAAAAATCACTTCCTTGTTTCATGAACCCTCAGAAAGAGATCTTGCATACTTCCCATAATCAGCAGATCTCCGCTAGAACTGGACTGTCTTACAAGTGTAGCATTCTCTGAATGCCAAGATAAATCAACAACAGGGAGTGAAATGGGCCAGGCTCTCTACTGATGTCATAACATGGGTCATTTTTTCATTTTTACACAATACAGTTATTTTACCAAAATCTGGCACAACTGTGCATCGTATCCAATCAGCATCAAACTCAGCTTGTTGAATTAAAGCATAACAAAAACTTCTGTCCTTGTTCCTGATTTCCTATCTTTACTGAATATGTCATCCTTCTGGTTCACTCAGTAGTTGCTTTGAAATAGCCTATTCATTTTCAAATCAAACCACTTCAAATTAATTCTCTTTGGTTTCCTGCTCATATGACCGTTGGCTACTATGCCTCCTATTCCCCCACAGCCACTGGTTCAGTGATGTAATTCAGCCCCACTTGCAGTGGTTGGCAGACCGAGACTCTCAGACACATGTACAGGTCCTTGTGTACCCACCCAACCACCTTCACTATATTCCCTATGGTTGGTGGGAGCTGTAGTTTCCTTTTACTGAAAAGTGAGAGGAAAGGATATGATGTAATCAGAGCAGATGCTGTTGTCTTTTAAGTTACAGAGATGAGGTCATGAAAATTCAATTACACTTTTCAAAATTGTATTCATTTTTTAGTGTTTTTTGTAGGGAGGGGTACTAAGGGATGATTTTTCTGCTTATGCTGGAGTTCTTTTTTAATCTTTGACAAGAAAACAAAACAAAACTGAAAGCTGATTGGTTTCTATGCAGAGCTGCACCACATTTTGTAGTCTCCAGTTTTAGTAAATCAGCCCCAAAGTGTGTAATACAGATTATACTTATATTATAATTATTTTTAAGCATATTTCCTTTAAAACCAAATGTGTATGTCAACATATAATCATGCAATAGCTCACTAAGTCTCAAGCAACTAC